GGGACAGATGAGGGTGATAGATGGTGCAGTGGATATTGTCAGTGCCCCTAGGTCTTTTTGATAAAGATCAGAGCAGCGTGCACTGTGGGGGAGGCAAACAGGCACATGTGCACAGACACATGTGTATCCCCGACTGTGGAGGACATCGCATTGACTAACATTCATTTTCTGACAGGCTTTAACCTTATATCTCACTGAGGTACCTTGGAATTTAATGATTTGCAAGGCAATGCCTCGCCTTGGGCCATTGTGCCACAATTTGATGTACTTATCCTGTAAAATTAAAGATCCAAGCAAGAATTTCTCAGCATAAGTATTTTCTGGACATTAACAGGCTCCCTCAGTGGAAGGAGTGCCATTATAAGTATGATTACTTTAATGCAGCATGAAAATAATCCATCCAGAGATCCATTTGCAAAGAGCAGCTGTTACATGACCTTTCAGGGAACTGATAACATGGCACATTTGTTTAGCCTTTTTTTCCTATTAACTAACACACTTAGTGTGGAAAATAAACTGAGGACTTTCAAAACCAGGAGCGTTTTTATTACTTGTCTGAGGTGATTACATCAGTTTTTCACTGCCGTGCAGTGACCACATAAAAAGTGCAACACATTTTTCGATGTAACTTAAAGACCACACTGCGCCCGAACAATATGCCATTGTCGAAACAGGAAAGAAATAACATATGGAATAATGTAAGAGTTTCCAAATTTCCACATCCAGAGTGTGTTCAACAACTACAACCAAACAAACAACAAAAACATCCCAGCTGTTCCAGGCATGTCCACAAACTTAAGACTGTTTTAGTGTGTAATAACCCAAACCCTAACCTTCAACTAATATATCTCAAATCTGCTTACTATAATTTACTCAGTTACTGTTGCTAGAATTTTTTGTTCTGTTTACAAAGTACTCTGGCCTCTGTGCCTCGTTCCCTAACAACAATTAAAGTTTTTACCGATTATCCTCTCCCTCCACACTTCATTACTTTGGAATGTCTCCTCACATTCCCCTTGGTAAACACATCTGGTACTGTAGTGTAAGTGCAGATGACAGTTTGAGAAGTGTGGTCCATTACTATTGTATGAAAGGGATGAAGCAGCAATGCAAAACCAGAAAGGTTGAAATGAAGATGAAGAACAGTGTGGAGGTAAGTTCAGCCTCTGCTGACTTTGGGTTTCCCACAGGACGGAGGAACACATTCCTCTGCCTGTCTGGAAGCTCAGTGTTCTGCATGTGTTTAGGGAAGCTCACGCCTGTATGAACACAAATGTATCCTAATGCATATTGTATGAATGTGTGTGTTTTTGTAGCTATATCATGTTCAAGGTTAACATGTCGTGTACGTGTTGCACAGTTGTTTATATAGTTGCATCATACAGTACTGACTAACTGACTTTTCTTTTCCACTGACTTTTAAACTGATGAGCAGAGATGACAAGTTAGGAAAAGTCAAAGACTTGAGCAACAAAAAGAGAGAGAAAAAAAAGAAGAAAGAATTACAACTGCTAAGGAAGAGCTCTCTGGATATGTTGTGTTTGTGTGTGCACGCGTGCTAGTCCAACGGTAATCTTTGATTCCGTCTCATCAGCAGAATATCAAACTACCTCCGACATCATGCTAAATAAAACATCACTGTCTTTTTAGGTTTTTTTTTTTCAAGGTTTCATACATGCACGCTTGATGGCATGTGCTGCTGTATAAATAACTCATGACCTCACAATCTTCAGAGGGAGAGGAAGAAATTCTCAAGGAGTCTGACAATCACTTCAAAGTCTGTCTCTGGAGCCGACAGGCAGGTTGCAAAGACTGGAGCAACACCCTGCTCCATAGTTCTATCGCAGTTTGATCAATGGATTGACCTCTGAATGTATTTTTTGTGATGTGGATGTGCTCACATCATACCTTTACACTGCTCTTTGTGTTTCAGATCCCAGTGCTTGGTAATAATTCATGAACTTTCCACAGTTTGCAGTCACAACAGTAAAGAAAACAAAGTCCAGATTTAGGTTAAACATCCACATCCTTGAGGTGCTCCTGATGTTCCTGAGGTGAGTGTACCTAGGCATTCCCAGGCCATTAGGGAGAAAAAAAGGACACACATGCAACTTCTGGAAATGCCTCCGGATCTGCTCATACTGACATGCTTGGAGAACATGTACCTCAGCACGAACATGTCCCAGAGGATCCTATATAACATGCCTAGAGTCCAGATGGAACAGTATTTCACCTTAGGACATGCTCCTTTCAGAATCCCTAACTCCTCACGTTCTCCATGTTCTATGTGATTTGAAGAAGATCCAACTTTTTCCAGCTCTACACAGAAGTTACATAAAGTTCAAGGTGAACTATATATAAAAATGCAAACACCAGCGTCCCTCTTTGAGAGAAACATGGTCAATCAGGGAAAAGGAGCCAAATAAAACTACCAAATTCACAGAAGAAAAAAAAGTCCTGTGTTGTTTCATGCAAATAACTGCATTAACAATAAATTACACTGAAAATGCCTCGAATTAATTCAATCATTAAAAATGTATACATTTTCCAAATGCTTTTGTATCGCAAAATGAAGATCTGTGGATATCTAGGATATTTGCAGTTACATTTCAATTGACTGTAGAAAATTGGTTTGTATTGCAAAATGGAGATCTGGAGATTACATTTCAATTGACTGTAGAAAATTGTTTTATCATCAGCAAAATGTTGCATATTCTGAAAAAGAAAATCCTGTTTGCCTCTCTCTCTCTCTCACACACACACACACACACACAGGCAGAACGTGATATAAGAAGCTGTTGAAACTCCTGCCAAGGAATAAATCTGGGACAACTGTTTGGACATACAAGGACCACAGGCCGACACACGCACACCCTGACACAGCACTTGTGCAGACTCAAACCCCGGCACACTGCAATCAATGATACTGTCATTACGCAGCGTTCCATACATACACCAACACAAACAGACACAAGATACGCACACACACACGCACAGCAAAAAGAAAGGTCGCCAGCACGGGGACTTAGTGTTCAAATAAACAAGGAGACGACGGGAGACACATAAGCAGCATGTGATTCTGTTTTTATGAAGGATTTGTGAGATTTGCGAGATGCTGATGATGTGAGCTGCAGTAATACACTGAGCTGCAGCAGTTGTAGTATTAACTGTAGTAGTAGAAGTCGAAGTAGTGGTAGCAAATATGTCTTAACATTTATAAGTATACAAACATACATATAACCTTCACTGTTATATATATATATATATATATATATATCACACATCAAAGTAGGATATAATTTTTTAAATAAAATAAAGTAATGATCAACTTTGGTGTTCTGTTTTCATTAACATTAACTACCATTCAATTCTTCTAAAGGCAGAATAGTCTTTTTTTTAAACGGCCATTCATACTGCATTGCCACAACTCCCCAGAGGGGGAGCCAAACCATCTCCAGTCTGCCTGTCTCTCTCCAACATCCTCTGTACTGACACGGCCCACGCCTTCAGCTCAAGTTTGTCTTATTGTCTCTGTGTCCTACTTTATGAGTCGAAAACTGAACTAAACTCTACAACTCAGACAATGAAAGGCTAAACAAAGATTCTATTTCTTTACGGAAAAAAAAAACTTCTTTCTCTCCGTTCTATCACCGTGGGACTGAACCACTGCCTCTAATTCAGGAAATTGCTTTAAAATATGCATGCACTCCCAATGTATTCTCTTAATGCTCTTTATTCTAGTTCTACTTTTTCCAAGGAATAACCCCAATGTATTCTCTTCTAGTTCTACTTTTTCCAAGGAATAAAATATTGTGATATTGGTGCATTATGTCGTAAAGCCATGGTTATAATTTAACTAATAAGAAAGTGTTTAGCATAATTAATTAATTTACATGATCAAAGTGTTTATATGCATTTTTACAGTATATATTCAATAATGTTTCGTTAAGATGCAAGAACAGTAAATATAGTGGAAAATACAGTTCAGGAAAACAACGGTGATTATCTAAAAGATCACTGTGTGTGTGTGTACACATACGTGTGGGTGTGTAGGTGCTTGTGTGTTGCATGTTTGTATGTTGGCAGTCGACCGTTTGATCTTTATGTTTTACACCCCAGAACTAAGTACCTGTTTCAGGACGTAAAAAAAAAAAAAAAAAAGTTATTCTAATCTAATCTAGAAATCTGTTACGTGCACACGACACGGTCTCTGATACAGAACGAGTTCTAATTTTAACTATCACTTGAACCAATCGTATCTCTTCCTTCATCTCTGGAATGGTACTGTTTACTGAGGCCCTGCGGGGAACAAAAAGTGTAAAAAGGGAAGGGAAGGGGCCACAAACCCTCTAGTGATGAAAAAGGAACAAGGATCCCACTGAGTACAATGATAAGAAGTCTACATTTGTACACGTCCCTGGTGTGGTGTCGCCTTTGCTTGATGAGGTTTGTGGTGAAAAACAGATATGAAGTAATTGTGTTATTTCTGGTGTTTCCAACTGTGGTTGAGCGAGGAATAAAAAACAGAAATCTGAATAATAATCCAACATGGTTTTTTTCAGCAATGCAGGAAAATATGACGAACGTGTTGAATCTAAAAAGAAGGCAGGTATTTCTTCAAGAGAACTGTATGAAAAACGTGTTCTTCTCTGCAACACTGGCTTTTCGTACGTCATGAACAGCTCAGAAGACTTGACCTGAGGTCCAGGGAATGGTGTTCTCTTAGAGAATATAAAGATCAGATGAAATGGACCATGACATAGAAATAAGGAGTTTGAAATCTGTAGCTGCATCACAAAAGATGTTCTTGTATAATTTTGCTCAGACCCACAACTTCAGGTCAATTTAACCTGTCTTAAAAATGGCAGAAAAAAAAAATCTATCTATATATTTCCTGCCATTTAGAGGTTCATACATCAGTACACGTCACCATCAGTGGGAACACAAAGGTAAGCAGTGAGTTAGAGCATTGACAGAGACAAACACAGACACTTTCTGACCTTCATAGTTGAGTTTGAAGCCATGTGCAGAGACGGCAAAGTCACTGGTCAACCTCAACGAGAAGACGTTACTTGTACTGGTGACCGGGGCAGGAACCTGGAAGCCTGTTAGCCTGGAGGAACAGAGAGGAAGGTGGTTAGCCTTAGCAACATAACACACACATACATGGAGTATTCCATACATTCCCTACTGGTAGAATAGTATAGGAATAGAATTGAATAGAACAGAAGAGAAGAGAAAATGTGCAGTACAAACGAAGCGTCAGCGTTGGTGTTCAGTTATTCTAAGGTGAGAATTAACAGGAAGCTAACGGCCTTTGAATGTGTCCTCCAAATACACTCTCACACCCTCTGCAGTACAGGTGTGCCGTCAGCCTTGAGTCATTGAACTAAATGAGGAAGACAAGTGAGAGGGGAATGGAAGGCTAGTCTATTTTAGACGTAGAAGAGTGCCAGGTCTTCTTTATCTAACGCTGCAGCAGCCATCCTTCCTTCTCTCCATCACACTTCTCCTTCTTTCATCTCCTCTTTCAACATCAATCCATCCTTGCAGCAGCATCGTTCACCATCTTCCACCCGATCTTTGCACTTCACTCGCGCGTGTTTACTCATCTACTCTGCCGTCGCTCAGTGCCTTTATCTTGGCTTTGACTTGACATGTGTAAGAATGCATTTATGATTATTATTAAACTCCAACCTCGGCTCATTATCTTTGTCACTTTGTTACAAGGTTTTCCTTTCAAAACTGAATGACATTAGAATTTGCTGAAGTTAATTGGCATGGCTTTTTGTGATTAATATAATTATACATATATATTATATAGTGACCTCCAATTCTGAAAAATAAAAAAAAAATCCTGAAGCTCTTACAGTATTACACCACCAGATACTGTAAGTGTTTCTCAGACACTCTAAAAACACTCAGACATCCCCGTTCATCTTCCCGCCGGCCCTCATCTGTTATTCTAATGAGCTTTTCACCCACACTCTCTTCTTTTTTCTACCTTGCTTTTATTCCACACTGCAGATTTGGTTTATCACTCCTCATATTTTCACTCCTTCTTTTATTCCACATTGTCTTAGTCATTACCTCCTGGGTTCTCCTCCTCAACTGTGTTTACTTCACATTTTCTCTCCTCTGGTTCAACATCAAGCAGCTTCTTCTGTTTCCGCAGCCATACTGTTAACTTAAATTTACTGCCCTCCTGAACCGGCACTTTTCCCCTCTTATTATTCTTCCCCTATTTACATTTGTGTTCATTCAAACTCCTCCTCACTCTGCCCCTCGTGCTCCAGTCCTGACTGTAAATTTGTTTTTCTTTGATTTAGGTCCCGTCTGTTTCTGTTTCTCCTGTTTTTCTTCTGCCCTGCTTCACATCTATATTCATGTTTCTATTTAGATTCATCCAAAAATTTCTATTCTTGGTTTCGTTTCATCTTGTCTAATATCACTCTAGGCTTGTGAGGGTCAATTTTCTTAAAAGTCTCCAAGCATGTCTTTAATCTTATCTCGGTGTTCTTCATCTGTGTCTCCATCAGTGATGCTGCTCCATGTTTGTTCGTCTTCTTCACTCATCCCTGCTCCTTTAATCTAGGCCTCCCTGAGACTCAAGCTTTCAAATATTTGTCTTTCTCTGAAGCCTTTTAAAACCTTTCCTGAACTCATTGACAGCCATCATCTATGCAAATTATTTTCATCACGTAACAACCACTGTGCATTTGACAAACTAACAAATTTAGACATATGGCAACATTTGGAAATCTGCCGTCCTGGATTCACGGTATCTATGTTGCACAAAGGATGTAAAATTCACAGTACTGTCTAAACCTGATACATAAAAAAAAGTACTAAATTGATCCCATATTTGGAGAATTGATGTGTTCGCAGCAGATATGCTGTTAACAGGCTGCTCCTATCAAGCACCAAGCATGTGGTTTGTCTAGGAATCAAACCCAGGACTCTCTGCTTCCGAGGCAGGCATGCTAACCACTACACTATGGAACCTAATTAAATAAAATCAAAATATGAACTAGGTTGATTTGTATCTACATCATTAAAACATTAAGAACCATGAAACAATTTGGCTCATAATTGTATGTAATCATATTTGTTTTAAAATGTTAATCACATTGTAGTTAATAGTTATAAATGTTAAGTGGTTTTCTCCCAGTCTCATTTTTTTTTTTTTTTTGGTTATGCCCTTGGATAAAATTCATCAGCTTTCGCTAGTATTCCTCCCAAAACGTAGCTTTACTTTAATTCTAGAATACTTAAAATACCAACCGTTTTCCTTTTCTGTTTATGTTCCCCTACACCCACACATGGCTGGGTGAACTGACGAGTTAATCGCCCTCTGTATTTACCCACTGGCCCTCGTGGAGACTGAGTGGTTGTGTTTTCCAGTCCGACCGATCACCAGTCTCTCACGTGGGCACGGAAACATCTGCTACATCAAAATGCTTAAAAAGGGCTAATTACAGAGTAATTTCTATGTCACTCTGGCTGTCCCCACCAAACAGTTACAAAGCTAGTAATGACACAGATCCTGCCTGTCAGACTCCAAACTGATGCATCTAATCAAGCATTTCCTTTGGTCTCCTTTTTTAAGATTTTAGCTTAAAAGCATTACATGGTGACATTTCAGTCTATTGGCTGAAAAAACTGTATGAAATTTGAAAGATTTTAGCTTAAAAAAGGAGTTTTTTGGCTGAAAAAACAGTATGAAATTTGACCAGAGCCAAAGACCATTTTATACCACTGGTAAACACGTGCCTGCAGGCTGCCTTATCACCACGTTACTGCTCAAAATGTCACTAAAGACAAATGAACGGTGCTTTTGATTGAGTGACAAAGTGTGGCTGTTTTGATGAGAAATTAAAGAAATATTATGTGAGAAAAACATGCCCTCAATCCAACTCCACGTTGCTGATTAATTCTGAATATCTTACTGTAGCTGTTTTCTGTGTTGCTGCACTCTCTCAAAAATAATTAGTCCACCACACATTTACACACACATATGCATGCATGTGTGTGCACACACTTACTTCTCCAGTTCCTGTTCAATAAATTATCACGTTTTGTGATACATGTAGTAAGACGTTGCAGAAAAGAGAAAAAAAAAAAAGGAGCACTATCCTTGTGCAGTTCTGTTTTATAAAGCCTTTCTGTGTGCGAAATGAAACCACACTGGTAAATCAAAGGAAATCTGGTCAATGTAGAAACATACACTGCAGGTATCATGTTGCAGCAATAAAAAAAAGCGACTAAAAAAGAGACTAAAATATGTTATGTGGCAAATAACAACGGTGATGGTAATTGGTCTGATCAAATTAGATTGGAGTTTGAAGCCAACATTTAATCACATTAGTCTGTTAGAGACTGACCAGAACGTTCACCTCCACATTTGACGTTCAAGCCTTCAACATTTTCTATGCTTGAATAAACAACATGTTATTATATAAATAATATTAGCTAATGCTAATATTACCTCTGGGCCTCTGTTAAAAAATAAAGGAGGAAAGGAAGCATAAAATTGACTTAACAACAAAGTTTTGAATTATTACAAATGCATGTTCATATCATTCAAACATCAGTGAATAACAGATGCTGAAACATCTGATTTATAATCTGTCCTCGTCACTCGTGGTTCTACTGAGACAGTCGTTACAAATCAAGTCATGGGAGACTGTGAATGACAAGACAATGAACAAAAAAGAGGAGAGAAAGTTGTGAATGTGAATGAAAATGTGAAGAAAAGTTCATGATGGTGCAGCAGAAATCAAGACACAGACTTCCACATTTAAAATGTTTTACATATTTGATCATGTTTACAGACAATTTTGAAATAATTCCTGCAAAACAACAGCCTCCATAATCAAATCTATCCACAGAATAATGTTAGAGTAATTGTCTCCAACCGGACCTCTTTAAGATTTAATTAAAAACCCCTGTCCTACACCAGCTTGGGCTATTGAAATTCACCTTTAATTAGCACTTGTAGTTTTGATCTAATCAATGTATCTTCATTATCAACTGTGCTACCACAGGCTTTTAGGGATGCGGTAATTAAACCTCTGCCTAAGAAGCCCTATTGACCCAATAACAACAACCCTCCTCTTAAATTCTCAATTCATTAAAAAAAAAAGAAGCTTATCTGCATCAATCTGCAAAGGGATTGTGTGTTTAATATCAGCAATCAGTAAAAACAGTAAACAGCAGAAGATGCTGATAAAAGTTAGTTAGTGCTGCAGCAGATATTAGTTCATAACAGCTCAGATAACGTTAAGATGAATCCTATGTTTTCCTCTTTACTCTCCTGTAAGGGAGTGTTACACCTAAAGGGCTGCATATCTGAGTGAGTATCAGAAACTGTATGTAATATTAATAATATCTTTAGCTCTCCCTCTGTTTTTATTTTAGGAACAACTGTGGATATTTGTTACTGAACCGATCATGACCTCACACACCCCTCTGTCTCTGGCCTCTCCCACTGTTCCTCCTCCTATCTCCGCCTCACCTTCACTCACTCTTTTCCACTCTCTTGCTTCCTTTTACTCCTTCCATTGGAGGACCAGTAACTGTGTCAACATCACAGCCGTTCAACTTTCATTCCACCTTTCCGCCTTTTCCCATGAGACACTGCTTTCTGTGTGCATTTCAATGACGTTGGTCTGAACACTGCACCATTCATACTCTTTGTCTTCCTCCTCAAATAACCATTGATGAAGTTTCCCAATTTAGAAGTATTACCAAATACATACAGTTAACTGATTTCAGCTGAAAGTTTCTTCACATATGCCCCATATAAGTAATTAGACTTAGTTTTAGTCAGAGAAACATACTTTTGCAATGAAAGTGCTGCTCAGTAAAATTTACTCCACATATGGATTTCACATTAATATTTTAAGCAAAAAAAAAATCAGCACCACAAGGGCAGAAACTTTTGAAACAACATTAAAAATGTGTCTCATCGTGTCTGATTCAGACCTTTCCTCCTCCGACACTGTAGTGTCCAGTGATTTATTTCCTCTGCTTGTGTCTAAAGTTCAGGGTCCGTAGTGAGTGATTGATTAACAGCACTACCTTAGCTTCTCTCTGCCTCTCGCTCTCAAA